GTTCTTCTCCACTCGAATCGACATTTTGGAACGAGCGCCTAGCTTCACTGACGGACAGACTGACAGACTATTATATATCTCATATTTGTTGACGTTTCAAAAGTACCAAATTATGGTTTAATTGAAATAAATGCTTTTGAGTTTGAGTTTGAGTTTGAGTTTTCACGCTGAAAAACAAGTGACATGTACAGATATGTTATTCTATTAGTAGGTACTGATGGATGCATGTTCATGACCCAAGTTTGCCGTGGAATGGGACCAGTTCAGCATGTGCAAGACTGGGCCTTGCGCTGGTAACGCAAATGCGAAAATTAAAAACGAAAATTTTGTTTGTAATGCTGTAATTCTTTCACTTGCGAGTCGGCTCAACACAAGTACCTGTTGTGTAATAATTTACTGGGACTGTCTCAATGTTAGACAAGTATTGAAAGAAAGAAAAATCATTTATTCGGCACCAGGCACGATGCAGCATAAATAAAATATAAAAAGACAATAAAAGTGTGACAGTGGAAGTAATGAAAACATTGAGTTGAAAAATTAAAACAGAAGAATTAGAAGAGAGACGCTGACAACATGCCTATGCTAAAAGGGTCACCCACTCAGTCAGCCAGGCATACAAGTCACCCATGCAGTGGCGATTGAACATTTGTAATTGTTGAGATAATAAACAAATAAATAATTGTTTGATGAATTAGTAAACTGCGATAGGGCGAATAAAAGTAAATTTAAAGAGACATAAGTCAGGTTGATTGATAAATATATATATACAAACATGATCTAAGTTACTTTTCGCAACTGCAACAAAGTTCTTTGCTACCAAAACCAGTTTGAAGTCGTTGTCTAAATATTTTGCAATATGTCTTACTGTTTGTTTAGCACGTGTTTGTCTACGTCTATTTTGTTTTGAGATAGCGAGCTGTTTTAATTCTCATCATGTTTTAGACTGAGGACTGTCAGTCTTTCTCACAGTATCTCGTGGACATCACCATCAGTACTATTGTCGTCTTGTTTACAATTTTGATTATCCTTATCCTTACCTTCTTCTTCTTTAGAATTGATAATGTCTTCTTCCATTTTTTCGTTATGTAGGTATTATTATTGTTTTTCTCCAAATTATTTTTGGAGTTCATAAAATATTAATACATTAAAAGAGTAGGTACTTAATGAGCGCCACTCTATGGTTTAATTTAAATGAATACTTATACTTTGACTTTACACTGATGTGCTTATAAATCAGTCTTAATAGGAAGCAAGGTTTCGGTCTAATGCACGAGTAGACGTTGGACATAACATAGCTAATAGTCATTAGGTAATATGGGAACCATAACTACGGAAGTTTGATGCGGAAAACCAGACACTACTTAGTGTAGTAGATCCAAAAAGTTATCAGTTACTTCCTGTCTCAGGTTTACTACTGCATGTGGCTCAGAAAAGTGGTTATGACAAACATCTTACGTAGAAGAGGCCCCTGTTCTAGTTGCCGGAGCCCGGCTAGAAGGGCAGAAGTAAGAACGGGTGGTTTCAGTCAATATGAATCCGACACTCCCTCTCGGGGGGAAAAGTCATTGGATGATTTTCCCCCCTCAAAAAAAAAAGGCTTGTTCAAATACTTAAACGCTACTCAATTTTAAGCCACGCTTAAGAATACTTCTATCACTATAAATTTCATTTCATTTCATTCATTTATTTATTCATGAACAATTATTACATTGTGTTTGAATTTGTACAATACACCTATATTCTAAAAATTATACATGCAATAATTAGCCGTTACAATTAATAAAGTAACCAGTTAATTCCTTGCAAAATGACAGAGATGGCTCGATATTTAAGTATAACTTTAAATTGACTCAATTTTTCCTTGCCTTTCAGTATTCGGGCCTGTAGACTGTAGATTTTCGTAAAATTAATGGATCATGAATTCAGAAAGACCATCAAAAATGTCGTGGTTTAAGACGTTCACTTCTCATGCACAAGGAGCCAGGTTCAAAACCTACCAACCGCAAGTACCAATGTGACTGTTTTCTTTCTAAGATTATTTAGACACCACTGACAAACGGTGAAGTAAAACTTCGTGAGGAAACCTGGTATGATTTCAAATTATAAGTTTGAATTCGCCAACCCGTATTGAACAAGCCTTCTCCGTGAGAGTAGATGCCTTTGGTCAGCAGTGGCTACTTATAGGTTGTTGATGACGATGGATGATGATCAAAGACCGTTAAATAGCGGCCTTAGGAACGAATTAACAAAGATATTCGGTAGAATTAAGGCCAGGATTGCTTCTACCAGACCATTTTCTTTAATAAGGTTATCCGTTCGCGTGCACTACAGACCTGTCTGGGAGCGCAATCATCATTACACACAATTCAGTCTCATTTAGAAATTACCTATTGTTTCTAGGATTTTTAACCAATGTTAGTTTCCTTAGAAGTTACTTCTATTGATATGGCACTGTAAACTAAGATACGATTGGAATGAAGAAGGGGTTTATTAAGTAAAATCGCGGGCAGCGCGCAGCTCACTCTCATATCACATCACAGCTCACAGAGTGTCGCCGCGACCGCGCACGCTGCTCATGAGGAAGAAAGAACCCCTCTGTGGTTCGAAACTAGTAGAGCTTTTCTCAGTATATTCACGTGAGTAACCCGCGATTTTACTTAATTTAGTATGTCTCACGATAGTTATTATAAAAAGAAGGGGTTTCTTATGGAAAGCCGCAGTAGTAGAAAAAAAACTGTTTTAGCCCCATGAAACCTGGCTATTCTCAGGAATCATTGGTCTTACGTCTTCTGTCTCCATCTATGCTATATTGCCGCCTATTAAACTGTCAAACACCAAGCGGTCACCGGTGACCGCAACCTATTGTTCTTTATTTGTGTCTATAATGACGGTACTCAACGAGTTAAGATCATTGATCCTGTGACTGATAATATAGATGGTACAGGGCGACTTACGAGTAGGTATCTGGTAGAATCCAGGTCTACCAAATATGATTTTTTTTAAAGAATGAGTCTAACATTGCTGCCATTTCTCCATCGCGCATAGACAAACTGAATCTAGTGTAAATTTACGTGCATTATCTATATATATAAAAGAAAGTCGTGTTAGTTACACCACTTATAACTCAAGAACGGCAGAACAGATTTGGCTGAAAATTGGTATGGAGGTAGCTTAGAGCCAGGAGACCGACATAGGATACTTTTTGACCAATTTTTTTTTTTACTTTTTACCGAAAATCACGAACGGGGACGGGAAAAAATAGGATTACGCGTACGAAGTCGCGGGCAGAAGCTAGTTTATTAATAAAAACATATTGTTACAGCCAGACATGACTAAGAAAGAATTCATACACGTCTCTTGTCCACCTGACTGTGACGATCTCGAAGTAATGGCTGACTCATATTTCAGTCTGATTTTACAAGCATTAATCTAACCAATCATAGTCGCCAAGACACAAGACACAAGAAAATGTAGATAAGATAATTTAATGCACAGATACATAATAATGATTATGAAACCACTTTACTGTTAATTGTTATTTAGTGACCTAATTAGATAATTACGAATTTTAAGATAACAAATGCACGTGTTTTTTTTTTTTTTATGGCATAAGCCGGTAAACGAGCAGACGGATCACCTGATGGAAAGCAATCGGCGTCGCCCATGGACACCTGGAACACCAGAGGCGTTACAAGTGCGTTACCGGCTATTTGTGGATTAGGAGTTTGAGGATTGTTGGGGATTCAGGGATTGGGGAGATTGGGGAAGGGGAGGGAAATTGGGCCTCCGGTAACCTCACTCACGCGACGAAACACAATGCAAGCGTTGCTTCACGTCGGTTTTCTGTGAGGCCGTGGTATCACTCCGGTCGAGCCGGCCCATTCGTGCCGAAGCATGGCTCTCCCACACATATACGTGTCTTTTGATCATTTTTTTATTCATATTCATATACTTTCTAATATTTCTTGGTTTGGTTATTGTATTTTTACTAATACCTAAGCTTGGTTGATCCAGGTATTGAACTCGAGATTCCAACTCACTACTACCTAACCCACTTACGTGGCGGTACCGGGTAAAACGGGATGAATGGAATTTAAGGGGTGAACACCTTAATCCTATATTTGACTTCTGACAGCTTCTGTGTATGTGTTCTGTTGTATGTTTGTAAATACACCCACGACATAATAGAAAATCCTAATGTGGGGCAACGTACAAAAAATAAGAGAATATTATATACATATATAATATTATATTTTCATATATTACATTTTTCATCCCATTCCCGTATCTATTCACCTCGTTTTACCGTACCTACCTATTACATTATAAATATATGCATTTTAAATAAATAATGTATGTACCTACTCTATATATACACACTGACGCGTTTCATACAATACAATTACGTAGCTAATATATTTAAACAAATGTAGTTTTTATCTCTGTGTATCTTCATAACTTCCTCATGATAAGTAATATTAAATTCGTTCTACAATTAATAATTTTAACGTTATGAATTCATAACGCAAAAACCACTGTACTAACTTAGATGAAATCTATTTAGATCGATAGTATAAATAAACGAGAATTATAGCACATACGAACAGGCAGCACTAAGTAGGTAATAATATTTATAAACAAACAGGTACATAAGTGAATTGATTATTCCAAAATAATTTATTCCAGGGTACAGACTCAGTACAAAATGTACTATGGAATAAAAATATATGATAGACAACGAGAGAGTGAACTATTCTCGCGTGCAAATATTCACAAGCGTCGTCAACGTCTGCGGAGAAAAAAGTCAAGGACACGACAACTAGCAAAAAGATGCTACGGGATGCCAACATGAAAACAAGAAGAAATAAACAATCAAACCATACGTGAGTCTTATCGCATCAAGATAAAGTTTAAATTGGAATAAAAATAGCTTTATCAACAGCAAATCCATTGGTCATAACAATTATAACACGACAACAAACTTTAGTACCGCGCGAGACGCGAACGAACACGCACGAGTTTACTGTGTTCACAAAATATAATTAAATAAAATGAATGTGATATCGTTAGCAATATGGACTTTAGAAAAAAACTGTTTCATAGTTTACAGCGGACTCATAGTTTGTTTTATAGCGTTTACATTGTATCATAAGAATAAATTGGAAGAATATTACAGTGAAACATCGAAAAAGGAGAAAATGGCGCGCACTGGAACTGGCGGGAAAGGTGACAGTGACAGCTTTATTTTTTTTTATAACATAACATAACATAGGTATGAAGCGTCATGCCGATTATTCCTCGAACAGGTAACGCATTGTGCAATATATTAAAGGCTTAATATTGGTCACTTTATTTTATGATAGACTGGACGTAATAATTTTAGACTTGACGCAATTTTTTATCCGGGAATCAAACCTCTCGATCGGTATAGTACCGATCACCTCTAGCGATCAATTGACAATTAAATTGATTATTTTTAACATATAAATATTTAATAGATATTATGTCTAGTAACTTTTTTAATATAGAGGTAGTATAACCGCCAACCATGTTATTTATTTGTTAGCTACTTAGAATGTAGAATGTAAAAAAATGTTGACTCGTTAGAAGGAAACCTTAAAAGGTTAATGTGAGTAAAACAATTTTATAATGAAGTTTAGTCATACCCTTACACGGTGTGGTAATGGTAATTATGTGATTTATAAGCGAGGTACATTACTTAGGCAAAGAAAAATTTAAATTCTTATAAACTCTTTATAAGGTAACAAAACAAATACAAAAATAATTTATAACACTTAAGTTATTGTGTGGTAAATAAGTATTAACCTTAGTATTTTTGACCCACTTTAAAGCGTAATTAACGTGTGTGTTTAAAGCGTGTTTTAATCGAACCCAAAGTCTACGTACAGCAAATAGACCAGCTGACGATTAAATATAATTAACAACATAAAATTATTTGCTATCGCGGAAATGTGACCTGAATACACAATTAAAATCATACAATATAAGCATTTATTTACGCCCTAAACATAGTATATAATTGACTTCTCATTATTCTAACATGTTATACATACCTCTATAAAATTTGGTAAAATCGTATTTTTCCATTCCCATAGTTTTAGAGGATTTTTAATGAAGTAAGCCGATAAACAAGCAGACGAATCACCTGATGGTGAGCAATCGGCGTCGTCCATGAACACCTGAAACACCAAAGGCGTTACAAGTGCGTTACCGGCGTTTAGAGAATTTGGAATTTGAGGAGTGTGGACGATTCGAGGATTGTGGAGACTGGAGAGGAGGGGAAATTGGGCTTCCGGTAATCTCACTCCCACGATAAAACAGAACGCAAGTGTTGTTTCACGTCGGTTTTCTGTGAGGCCGTCGGCTCGACCGGAGTGATAACTCCGGTCGAGCAGGCCCAGTCGTGCCGAAGCATGACTGTCTCACACTTTTTGGGGAATGTAGACTTTGTTCTTCCTCCTCAAGGAACCTACTTGTCAATTTCATCAGCTTCATATTGGACTTAGGAGACGACGATCGATAATTTGTCAATTCAATCTGTCCATGAATCGCAATTATCAAAACCGGAATCATTCAGGAATTCCATGACCCACTGTATCTACCTACTGAAGAATTAATATTATTTATTTTTAAAGATAAGATTAGAATTAACATAAACAGACTTAGACACTCCCATATTATAAAAAACAACGCTATTGCCATACACCAGGTACGATTTTCAGCTGGTCTACAAAACTAGTAAGACTTTGGCCAACTTGGAAAGGAGAAAGCCTCTTCATCAGTTACTAAACTTACTCTTGTATAAAATAAATGTTGACGTCACGATTTTTATTCCCGAAGGGCTAGGCAGAAGTGCACATTACGGCACTTAATGCCACTGTACAATGTAACACCCACTTTTCACTATTTATGTTATAAGTCTTATGTAATAGGGGGTGAGCCTATTGCCATATACCGGGCACAGTTCCAGACTCCGTGCTACTACTGAGAATGTTTAAAAAACTAGTAGTACTTCGACCACACAGCCAACAAGGCAATAAATGTTTACATTTTATTATTTTCCCACTTATCACCAGGAGCCAGGAACAAGGGAAGTAGGTTATCATTACTGGGTCACCACTTAAACAGACCTTTCGAAACTATATAAATGGGGGAAGGAAAAGGTTAATAGTTCAGATCTTATCATCCATCAGGAAACACGCAATTTATTCCCTTTATTAGGATGTACCTACATATTTAAGTACGCATTTCTTATTGGTTATTTTACGAGTAACTAGCTTCTGCCGCGACTTCATCCACGCAACCCCGTATTTTCTTGTTTCCGTAGGATTTTTAGGAGTAAAAGGTATACAATATAGATCTCCTAGTTCTAAGCTACCTCCCAATCGATTTTCAGCCAAATCGATTAAGGCGTTCTTAAGTTATAATTAATAGTATAACTAACATGACTTTCTTTATATACATGTAGGAAGCACGCCTTCTGCTGTACACCATTCAATCTACATTCCAGACTTGGTCCAGGCCAAAAATTTTGGGAATCATGTAAAAGCCTCGCTTGGCAGTAGTATTTTCGTTCTTTATTAAGTAAAAACGCGGGTTACTCACGTGAATATACTGAGAAAAGCTCTACTAGTTTCGAACCACAGAGGGGTTCTTCCTCATGAGCAGCGTGCGCGGTCGCGGCGACGTCGCGCAGCTCACGATAATTATTATAAAAACACAGTATTTTCGTTTTCGACAACTCGACCAACGAAGCATTATTCAAATCAGTCATTAATGTAACCATCATAGATGAAGCCCAGCAGGGCTGATACGGAGCCGCGATGAACTTAACGGGTTGCCAGGGCTCCGGCTCGAAGACAAAGAATAAGTGTGTTTTACAAAAACCGGATATAACATGGATATCTAAGTAACAATAATATGTATAATATTGCAATTTAATAGCCATGACTCAAGTTTTTCTCTGAAAGGTTAACCTTAGGTGGAACATATAAAAAGTATCAATCCGTCTGTGAGTTCATTGCACTTAAAGTGCTGGCCCGATTTCGATGAAGTTACAGAAGTCGCTTCACTAGCAAGGTCACTAACAGAATCGACGAGTATGACGTCCTGTGCTTTTAAAAATCTGTCCTCTGACATGCCTGATCTTCGAGTCACAAGCAAAATGAATAAGCATAAAGTCCTGTGTTTTTGTTGAAAGAAACAAACTTACAAAGTGACAAAAAGATATCTTACGAATCTAGATTTGCAACCTATGTTTGGTGATCCATATAATGTTTAAAGGACTAACAACATTATGCATTTTGAAGTGTGGGAGAGCCATGCTTCGGCACAAATGGGCCGGTTCAACCGGGGTGATACCACGGCCTCACAGAAAACCAAAGTGAATCAACGCTTATGTTGTGTTTCGTTGTGTGGGTGAGGCCCAACTGCTCCCCCCCTCTTCCATTATCTCCCGAATAGCCGGATCCCCAACAATCCTAATTTTTAATCCCCAATAGGCCGATAATGCCCATGGGCGATGCCGATTGCTTACCATCAGGTGATCCATCAGCGTGTTTATCAGCATCCTATAAAAAAATTATTACCTCCATTTACTATTTTGAGTAAAAACAAGTATTAGTTATATTAACTAGTTAACTAAATATATACCAACAAATGTAAATATTTAACATCTGCATAATCAGTAACTAAGGTTTTTCTTACCATATCAAGCCATAGTGTTTGATTTACAATGACGTGTGAAACGTAATGGTTACAAGGAAAATGTAATGTCTGATTACCCATTAACTATAAGTACTAAAAAGGCGATAAACAGGCAAAATACTTTTTACATAATATCGACCAGAATGGCGATATATTAAAGAAGGGCTAAATCAAAAGTACTCTTAGCCGACGAGCATGCATTAAAAGATTGATGAATGACTGTTAATGAAGCAAAAGAGGTAGGTATGTATTTTTTTTTAAGGATAAATGTTAAGTTTAATTAAGTTTGTGTATGCTCTCTTTTTCAATTTGTTTTGTCTTGTTTAAATTAGTAATTAGGTACATAGATTTAGTTTTAGACCTAAGCTATCGCAATGGAGAAAACTGTAATCATAGTTTTAGGTAAGGTTTTAAATAAATAAATAAATAAATGTAAGAATCGTAGCAATTTGGTAGTTTCCAGGGTATCAAAATTAAAAATCTAATTAGTCCGTCAGTTAGATAATGAATAATAGACACGTATTTTTTTATTTTCTCGTAATTAGTTGCAATACTTAGATAAAATGGCGCCAAGTTTTGGAGTGGGAGGTCGTTATGTCATACCGTGCTACAAAATATGACACACTGTGATGTCAAACGATATCTCAAATTGTTATATCGTCGAAAGTATTCAATTTTGTGAGAAAAAAAAATACGTGTCTAATGTTTTAAATTAATCTACCAGACGGACATTTCAATTAAATTTAGGAAACTACCCTATTGGCGTTCCAACGTCTCTGCCTACGCCCATGTAAGACAGGCGTGAAGTTATGTACCTATCTATATACTTTTTTCATTCTCTTCCTCCTTAGTTTAAAATCATAACCTAACTCTAGGATATTTTAATGTCACGTTACATTCAGACCCGAAACTACAAATTGTTCTTTGTGAGAATCGAACCCGCGCGTCACAGATTCATAATCATAGTAGTCGGTTGCAAAATTTTCCCAAACCTTTGATTAATAATGTGCGTGATAATATTTTACATAATAATTGCAGGCATGTCAATTAAAACAATTATTTTATTTTATTATACAGGAAACCGGTTTCACTGAAATTACTGTAGTGTTAATAATAAACTGAAATATATGTACTTATGTGATCATAATTTACATTATAACGTCTGAAAATACATACATACATAATAATATAGTATTTATACCTTTTTTTGAGGAGGCAAATCATCAAAATTACTTCTCCCACTCGGGTGAGGCGAGAAGGAGAACCAGACTTTTCCTGACTAAAAACCACCCCGTTCCTACTCCTGCACTTCGAGCAGGAGCCCCGGTAACCCGTTAAGCCCACTACGGCTCCGTATCAGCATCAGCCCTATTAGGCCCCATATGGTCTGATTTCTTGCTCGCCGTCCGCAGGCTCGTGCTTACGATCCTAGCTTACCTTATTAGGTACTTGCCTGCCTCGGTGGCCCAGTGGTCGTAAATGCGACTGCCGGGCAAGGG